CGAGGTTTGCGTGTTGGTCCTGCCCAAAATTTGGCCAGCCTGAACGGTTGCCTTGCGTTCGCCTGTGTGTGCTGGCCGTTCGTGATCACGCAGGGTTTCTGCCTTCTTTCGACACAGGGAGAACTGGCTAGGAAAGTCTAAAGAGTTGGAAGAATGGTCGCTCTAAGTAGCAGTATCTCGTCTGGCGCTGGGCCCGCATGAAAGGCAATGTGTTTGTCGTTGGGTCGGGGAGTTGGGCCGGCTGAAAATAAATTGAGGGCTGCGAACCAAGTTGAATGGGTCGTGACGAAGTGGCTACGTGAAGCTGGATTGTTGGAACGATAAACAACGGTGCGGTTGTTTGCGCGCCACACAACCGAGGCCAGACAAAAACATGTCCCTTCTCGGAGGGGTGGGCTGTTGGGTTGGATGTTGGCCGGATAGTGAATCGCAACACGAATCCCTCAAAGTTCGATACGAACACCCTACAGTGCCCTTTCCGCGATTGTGGAGGAGCGACTCGGCGATCTCACGCTAAGGCCAGCGACGCCACACTTTGTCTACCTGCACAGCCACAAATGAGGATGGACGCAGTGACTGCTGAAAATATCTTCGGTGGGCAACACATTTGCTCCCATCGTTCACCCTCCCGGCAGACCTGCGCAGACAAGACATATTCTCTCGTCCAGCATATTTCGGTTCCCTCATCACCTTTGTTTTATATATATTCTTTCTTAACCGTCACCATGGCGAAAAGCGCAAGAGCCAGTTCCAAGAAGTTCAACAACCAGCGCAAGGCGGCCAGTGTCTTTGCCCCTACTGAAAATGCCCGGGCAGAGCGCCTTTCCGCAAAGCTCCTGGAATTGGCCAAACAGCCTAAACCTGAGTCTTCTGATGTGAAAATGAATACCGAGGGTATGCGCAATAATTCCCATCTCATTCAGGCTGCCCAGCCGCGTGCAATCTTGTTTCGTTTTCTCAAACAGATTCTAACATGTGACAGACAATGATCTTCAAGTTAAAATCACCACCCAAGAAGGCAATGACACAGGTAAAGAACTTTCTTTATTCGTCTCCCCAATTTGTTCCTGTTGCCCTTGTATTGACATACGGAACTATAGCCATGGACGTGGATGCAAGCACCAAGACTTCCAAACCCCGGAGGAGCAGCAGGGTCATTGCTAAAAGTAAGCACAAGAAGTCAAAGATGGTATTCCAGAAGTACAGCGACAGAGTGAGCAAGAAGAAGCAGAAGAGCCAGGAATAAAAGGAAGGGATAGGTGTTCTGGGTTCTGTGTGTTTTTTTCCTTCTTTTTCTCTTCACGTATATCCACTTGAGGCATTCAAATCAACCACTTCAGCAGGAGATGTTACGATGCGATGATACCAATAACATAAACGTACACATACATACACTTCCACTAGCTCTCTCTTTCTCTCCCGTGGAATTTACAATTAACACAAATCATTGTGCGTATAATAACTTCAATCTTACTCAGGGCAGGCGAGCAAGACAGACCAGGACCAAGACCAGAAAAAAAGTTGGGAATGCTTATCTTATCGGCTCCTGTGGCGCAAACAACCACCCATCGTCTTGGCAATTGATGCACCTGATTGATCGCCTCGTCTCATTGGCTTAGAGCCTCAGACGTGTCTACGTCCAGGAAGGCCAAGACAATTGATTATTCTGCGCTCGCTCCCTCTCGTCAATGAAGCAAACAAGGCTCTAGCAGCACCCTTTCCTCTTCCTTCTCTCCCACATTCATTCATTTGCCCATGCATTCATTTGAGACGGACCTGGCTCCTTCCCGCTGATTGCCCGCTTACCAAGCTACCATGAAATATGGTTCGCTGGGTAACACGTTGCTGTTGAGCTTAGCCAACATCCTCGTGCCAATATCCATTCTTGTATTCGCCATTGGCTTTTTTCCATACAAGCCCTTTCTTCCGGGACTTGCCGAATATGAGTCTCTCGAACTTGGGCCTCCCCCGAGCGGCCCGTTTGACAAGCTCGTGTTCATGGTCGTAGACGCCCTGCGAAGGTTGTAGCAACCAGTGAACAAGCCCACTCAATCGCTGTACCGACCAGCTGACCTCTATATGTAGCGACTTTGTATTTTCAGAAAATTCCGGGTTTGAATTCACCCAAAGGTGAGCATCCAGTCCTTTTATTTTTGTTTCTCCAAATTCCACCGTTAAAATCTAACATCATCCTCCTCCAGTCTGATTCGAGATGGCAGTGCTGTTCCCTTCACAGCAAACGCGCGGTCTCCAACCGTGACAATGCCAAGGATCAAATCCATCACCACGGGCTCAATTCCTTCCTTTGTTGATCTCATCTTGAACTTTGATGAGGCTGATACCTCGTCGACGCTGTCAGCGCAAGACACTTGGCTAGCCCAGCTCAAGGCGCGGGGCATGGGAAAACTGCTCATGTTCGGCGATGATACGTGGCTTAAGCTGTTCCCCAACACTTTTGACCGGACGGATGGTACCACAAGCTTTTTCGTTTCAGTATGTCACGGTTCTTCAACCTGGTCTCAACGTGCCATTAACAATTGGGCTTGTCCAGGATTTTACCGAAGTCGATAACAATGTAACAAGGAACATTGCCGGAGAGCTTGAGAATAATGATTGGGGCTTGATGGTCCTTCATTATCTCGGTCTCGATCACATTGGCCATAAGTCCGGGCCTCGAAGGTGAGCAATATGGCCAACAGACAACGCCAAAAATGTAGGTTGAATCTGGCTAACCTTCTCGCGCAGCCCCAATATGGCCCCGAAGCAAAAAGAGATGGACGGTATTGTCCAAACTCTCTTCGAGGCAATTGAGTCCAAGAATCACTTGAAATCGACCCTACTTGTCATTTGTGGTGACCATGGAATGAACGACGCAGGAAATCACGGAGCGTCATCTCCAGGCGAGACCTCACCGGCATTGTTATTCATCTCACCAAAAATGAAGACAATCTCTTCCGGTCTATCAGCACCAGCAATCCCAAAAGACGAGTTTGAGTACTACTCCAAGGTAGAACAATCTGATATGGCGCCGACAATCGCAGCATTGCTAGGCTTCCCAGTGTCCAAAAACAATCTCGGAGCCTTCATTCCTGCTTTCCTGCCCTTTTGGCCCAGTGCGAGAGACAGGGTTCAAATTCTTATGAGAAACGCCAACCAGATCCTCGGCATAGTCACAGCAGCCTTTGGCGATGAATTATTTGACCCCAAGAGTACGACAGACCCATGTCTGTTGGAGCCTACGGATATCAACACCTTGGCTTGCCAATGGCGCAGTATTAGCCAAAAGGCGCACACCGTGGCAGATGCTCGTCATGTAGATGCAGAATGGCTCTCAGAAACTTCAACCTGGTTGAGGCGTGCCCAGGATCTGATGAGTGCTATGGCTTCGAACTACGACATTCCAAAGCTCTTGCTAGGGCTCGCCCTTGCCTCAGGGAGCATTATTCTCAGCATCAGCTCCACAGTCTCGCGAGGATATAACTGGAACTCAGATGCAGTTCCCCTCTTGCTCATCACCCTATCTTACGGCATCATGATGTTCGCCAGTAGTTATGTGGAGGAAGAACATCACTTTTGGTATTGGTCTTGCACCTTGTGGCTTGCGTATCTTGGGTCTTGCCAGGTCGCGAAGTAAGTCGAGTTAAACCAATCACAACCCAATATCATGCTAATTGTCACGATAGGGCCCGACGAATGCCTCTTTTTGGTTGGTTCCTAGTAGCTCTAGCTGCACTTAGGTTAATGCGCAGCTGGAACCAGACGGGTCAGAAATATGCTGGCGAACCAGACATTGTCAAGATATTTCTTTTGCCGTATCCTGAGCTCCTATGGATCCTTGTCGCAGCCACGTACGGCATCACCTCCTTTAACATTCTTGCCAGCCTCACTGGACTCCCATATGTTATTTCAACTGGCCTATCCTCTTTTCTTGTTTCGGCTGCCTTCAGTTTCAAGCTTGCCTTCACGGCCGAGGATGCCCCTGAACTTGTAGTGGGGTTTGCGAAAGCGGTATACGGTATGTTTCAAGGCCAGACTTTACTATTCAGAGCCAGGCTCGTTTTTGCCCTTATTTCCATCACTGGAATCTGGGCAACATACAGAAGCATCGTGGGTGGTCCGCGAGCCTCGAGAACGTCTGGTGAGTTCCATGCACTCCATCTACCAAGTCGAATGCAACTAACCGAGTCTCCCCTCCAGCATACCTCTTTCATTATCTCTACACTCTACTCGCTTTAACTCAATCTCGAGCAACGAACATCCCCATCCTACTCCTATCTTCTCTTCTCTTCAACTTCCTCCAGTCCAGCAACCTATCCATCCCACAGATCACCACTAGCTCCATCCTCCTACAACACGTTACCTTCTTCGCCTTCGGTGGCTCCAATGCCATCTCCTCCATTGATCTCTCCAGCGCATATAATGGCATCAGCTCTTTCAACGTCATCGCAGTTGGACTCCTCACTCTCATCAGTAACTGGTCCGGTCCCATCTTTTGGACCTCGGCGGCCAATCTGCTCCTGATGAAGAAAGCCCATGAGGGACAAAAGGATGTCTTCAGGCAACACATCACGCTTCTCACGGCGTTTACTGCAGCCAGCATAGCCTTCGTCATGGCAGCTTGCACGGCACTGAGAACACACCTCTTTATTTGGACAGTCTTCTCACCCAAGTACCTGTACTGCATGGCCTGGGGCCTGGGTCAACATTTACTCATCAACGTTGGATTCGGCGGCCTTCTCTATTGGCTCAGCTCGCGGTAAATATTTGGGGGGGTTCTAAATATAAATCTTCAATTCATTCAGATTCGTCGTGAAAGACCTTGTTCGTTACGTTTGCCATACCATAGATTATGTACCTATATTAGAGGCAGTTTAGGGATATCCATGAGAGAAATTTCATTAGACATAACCGTTAGCTGAAAAGAAAAACCACTTCGCCTAGATAATCAATATTGCCACCAGCACGCTCACATAACCAGCCAAACCCATTACCCACGCCTTTCAACGGCCCACCGTCACAGTCATTGATTCGCCATCATCAGACAAAAGCTCATCCAACAACGACCCATCTTGAGGTTCCCCCTTAGCTCCCACAACAGTCGCTTCGGGTTCGTCCTCATCTTTCTGTTCCTCAATCTTGGTCTCATCCGCCTCCGTAGACTTATCCCCCATGCTTGACTTGTCCTCGGGCTCGTTTGTGCCTGAAACGCGGCGGCTTGAGCGCTCAGTTGGCTGGCGCTCATCCAGCGCATTGACAATTTTTCCAAGGCTGACATGAATCTTGTAGAGTGAGTTTCGGCTTGTGGCATCTGTCAAAAGGCCATTCTCGACAGCATCGCTGACATCGGCGTATGTCTCACGTAGCCTATCCTCTGACGAGCTAGGCGAGATGTAAAGTTTTGCCAGGAGGCCAGCAGCGAGTTTCTTCTCTTCCCCTGTGAAAAAAAAATTGTCAGTCAAAACGCGGGGGAGGCTTTAATCATTAATAGGAATTGTGCGCTTACTGCTGATATTGCCGCGAAGCTTCTCAAGAATATCTTGGGCAAAGTCTAGATGCACATCACCATTGACGTTCTTCCTCTCTGAATCGTAGACTGCATCGGGGCTGTAGCATTTCCTAGGGTCTGTCCAATCTACTAGGCAAGCGCCGATTGTTGTCAGGCTCACCATGTCTTCGTCAACGTCAACATCGTCGTCATCGTCCAGCCCTTCCCGCACATTGAGAAGGGCATGGAGTGCGTCCAATGCCACCGCCCGCATGAGATCTTGGTTCTCTGGACGCGAGTAGCAAAAGACGGGTAGGAAATAGTTCAGTGCCTGCCTAACCGTTTGGTTATGGGCCGACGATGGGTCGAAGTATGCAACGACAAGCACTTTCAGTAGGTCATGAGAAGCTCCCTCGTCGCTGATCACGCGGCCAAGGAGGAGTTTGGTGGCAGCAATAGTGGCAGCCGCTTGCACTTCTGAAGATTTGGATGCGCCTTTGACGGCTTTCAGATACACCTTCAGGAGCACTGGGCTAGCCGAGAGAAGCTGTGCGCCATGGACGTTGAGAATATCTGTCAAAATATGCAAGGCCGTTATCTGCAGAGCAGGGTGACCTTTACTGAAGAAATGGATGAACAGTCCCAAATTTTCCTCAGCAAGAGATCTGTCAAGCAATGCGCAGAGCCCTAGGCACACCAGCCCTCTTTCTCGCACGGGGGCCTCGTGACTTCGAACAGCTGGGACAACCAAGTTGTTAAGCATTGCAACCAGTTCTGAACTATCCTTCAGGTTGCCAGCAACATGGGTCAACATGCACTGCACAATGTGTAGACACTTCATGTTGACGAGCATCTCCTTAACGGCCCGTTTATGAGCCTCCCCCTCACTTAACTCCGATGTTGCTCTGCGCCTAGCTTCTCTGGTTGGAGTCGTGTCACCAGATATCTCCGATCTAGCCGAATGGAAACTGTCTGATGCGTCATCCGCTTCTTGGTCATCGACAATAGTATCATGGACGTCGGCGACAGCCTCTAGGACCACGCTGCAAAATTCGCGCTCTCCTGCAGCATCTGGGGAGCATATGTGCTGCAAAACTTCAATTGTGAGCTTTGTCACTGGCTCTGGCACGTCCTCGACAGAGAGTGATTGACGCAAAAGAGTAAACATCTTTCTACGCCCAACCTCATCCGAGTAGTCAAGTGTCAGGCAAATATGAAGTATCTGCTCGACGATAAACTCCTGCTCGGTTGTGTCTTCTTCTTCTTCATCTTCTTCGTCTTCCAGTCCCTGTTCCTCTCGAAGTCTCTTGAGCTCAGCAACCCTCTTAACCGCCTCATCAAGAACCTTGAGGTATCGCTCAAGGTAAAAGGCCAGCTTGGTCACTTCCGGGAACTTTTCTTCTACGATCCACTCATACTTTCCATTGCCCTCGTTGAGGCAAAAGTCATTGAATGTTCGTGCCAGGAAAGCCGACTCGGAAGAAAGAGTCTCCCAGAAATGATCATCAAGAACAACAGCGTCTCGGTAATCGGGGCGGCCCTCCCAGAAGCCTCTCATAGCCTCCAAAGCCACTCCATTCTCTCCACCGCAGGCGGTTACATCGATCCTCTCCAGCAATTCGAGTAGTGCCTCGAAGTTGACCTGTCCAGGTTCAATCACTGTGGCTTCTCCTTCTGCTGAAGGAAGATGGCAACAATCCTCAATCCAACGATCTCGGAATAGCCGCCCAGCAGCTTTCCGGACAGTTTCATCTCGGTCGCGTAACCCCCATCGGAGTAGCTTTTCGCGCATAGTCAAAGAGAGGTGGCGGAAATCACCAAGAGCAGGCAACAGGCGAGCATAGACAGCTCTCCTAGTGCCGGGATCCTGATCTCTAGCTCGTTCGAGAAGATGGGGGAGTGAGGCAGAGAGAAGAGGGAGGTTAGTCAGAAGTGTTTTCCTCACATCTGCGCTGGGGTCATTCTGCAAGACCTCCAACAGCTTGTGAAGGAGCGTAGCCTGGTCCTCCTGACCTTCAGAGTCCTGGTCTTCTTCACCTGGTTGCTCCGTAAGGCGGCACAATCCCAGAACCGCCTGATTACGGACTATACCCTCCTTATCTCGAATGCGCCTGACCAAGGTATCTCGGACGTTTTGAAATAGGCCGTCATCAATAGCTTCCACGGTGGAGATAATGTGCGACACGAACTGCGTTGAGCGGAATCGAACAACTTTGTCCTTTGATGCCATTAATCTCATTGCAGTTTCTAACAGCTGTGAAGTCAGGCGTGTCGTTGGGTTATCAGGCAAGATGCTAAGATCTTGCTCGTCATTTCCAGCAATTTCGGCGTCCTTGTCCCCAGCCAAGCGCAAGAAGAATCCGACAAATCTCAGGATTTTATCACCAACGCTCTCGGATTTCTTGACGGGCATTACCCGAAGAACACATCTGATAAACTCGTAGTTGAATGTTTCCTCATCATAGTCTTCGGGGGCTGCATTCTTTTCGCTTTCTGGCTCATAGCAACAAGCCTCATGGATCTTGCGCAAGTTAACGACCAGTTTTCGGTGCGTCGCAGTAGTTCGCTGAGCATCGCGGAATATGGCACAAATTCGGGGACGCAGCGCATTGTCGGGAGTATCGACAATTTCCACGGTATCAGGCGAAACACTAGAGGCCATCGAAGACCTTGAGGTGACTGTCGTATTGGCTTGTCTGTTGGCCGAGGTCCGGCCAGACCGGTTGGCTGTACGGGCGGGCATGTCGATGAAATGGTACGCTGTTGTGAATGCGAATTCACAGCATCCCAAATCCTGTGTTTAGTTTGGTGAATGCTTCAATATGGGGCTGCTGGGAGGGGTGTTTGTTTGGGTCCGACGCGGAGCAGCGTGTTTTGCCCATCTAATTACTAACCCACCTAAGTCAACATTCTTCCATTTTCAGCCTAGAACCCCCGCCAAGGAATTGCCCCGCTCTTATCACGTGCGATAAGATAATGCAAGCTTATCGGAGCCTAGTTTCAACTTTTTTTTTTTTGAAGCAAATAGTGAGTATCGCAACGGATGTTCTGTAGCCTGACTGGAGGTTGTAACTTTCCAATTGCAACATGGCAGACACAACTGCGAATCGAAAGCGCGGCCGAACTGAAGCCGAGGCTGATGACAACGAGGCCTCTAATATCGATCAAATCATTGCAGAGCAAGTCATCAACCCAACCAATGCCAAGCAGCCTTCCGCAAAGAAGGCCAGGGTAGAGGAGCGTCGATCAATCTTTGTCCGCTCTCTCCCACCCAATGTCACCAACGAGGGACTGGCTGAGTTCTTCTCCGAGTACTTTCCTGTCAAACATGCCACGGTCATCACCGATCCTAAAACAAAGGAGTCAAGAGGATATGGTTTTGTGACATTCGCCGACGCCGAGGATGCCTCTCAAGCGAAAACGGCTCTGGACAAGAAGTTATGGGAGGGGAGGAGCATCAGAGTTGATATCGCTGAGCCTCGTAGTCGAAACAATACCGGTGAAAGCAAACAGGCCATAACTGGCAAGCCCCCGGCGAGAAACGAGATTCAGAACCCAACGAAGCTGATCGTCCGAAACCTTCCTTGGAGTGTTAAAACGTCCGAACAACTGTCGCACCTATTCCGGAGTTTTGGCAAGGTCAAGTTTGCTGATCTACCAAGCTCAAAGGGTAAACTCAAAGGTTTTGGCTTTGTGACTCTTCGAGGCAGGAAGAATGCCGAAAAGGCCTTGGAGGCTATCAATGGGAAGGAAATTGATGGCAGAACCCTCGCTGTGGACTGGGCCGTTGATAAAGAAACTTGGGAGGGTCAACAGCAAAAGGACGATGGCGAAAAAGGCAACAAGGAAGCAAAGAAGGAAGCTAAGAGGAGCGATGCTGCCAAGGATGAGGACGATGATCAGGCCGACTCAAAGGAGGAAGGTGTGGATGCCGACCTCGCGAACTTTTTGAAGAACCACATGCAGAATATGGAGGACGAAGACGACGAAGATGAAGATGAAGAAAAGGATGACGATGACGATGACGAAGAGGAGGGCGAGGGCGAACAGTCCAAGTCAAAGGAGTCGAGAAAGTCAACCGACAACTCATCTACTATTTTCATTCGAAATCTACCCTTCACAACAACTGATGAACAACTGAAGGGCTTCTTCATGCATTTCGGCAATGTCCGATATGCGCGAGTCGTCATGGATAAGGCCACAGATCGCCCCGCAGGAACAGGTTTTGTCTGTTTCTTCAATGAGGAAGACGCCAAAACTTGCGTTAAGGGTGCTCCACGGCCTCAACAACCCACTTCCACAAAAGCCAAACATTCTATCTTACAAGACGAGAACGCCGATCCGGATGGCAAATACACCCTAGATGGCCGCCTGCTTCAAGTAGCACAGGCTGTGAGCAAGGAGACTGCGGCCAATCTTGCAGACAGCTCCTCGGCGAAGCGAAGAGAAAAGGACAAGCGCAGGCTTTTCCTACTCTCCGAAGGTTCCATCGGGCGCAACTCCCCAATCTTCAACTTGCTAAGCCAGCCCGAGCTTCAGATGAGACAAGCCAGCGCGGCCCAGCGCAAGAAGCTCGTGGAAAAGAACCCTAGCTTGCACATCAGCTTGACTCGGCTGGCTATCCGCAACATCCCTCGCGAGGTCGGGTCAAAGGAGCTGAAAGATCTCGCCAGGAAGGCGATTGTTGGGTTTGCGAAAGATGTCAAGGAAGGTCGACGACAACCTCTGTCCAAGGAAGAGAACGCAAGAGACGGAAAAGACACCAAGGATAAGGAGCGTGAGCGAAAGCAAAAAGGAAAGGGCATTGTCCGACAGGCAAAGATCGTTTTCGAGAGCAATCAGGGTTCCAAGGTCGATGAGAAGAGTGGAGCTGGAAAGAGCCGTGGCTACGGCTTTATCGAGTATACTTCTCATCACTGGGCCTTGATGGGACTTCGGTATCTCAACGGCATGCAGCTAGATGGTGATAACAACAGAAAGCAGAGACTCATTGTTGAGTTTGCTATTGAGAATGCGCAGGTGGTACAAAGACGTCGCGCGAACGAGCAAAACACAGCACACTCTGCGCAGAAACAGCCTGCCAGTGGGAAGCCTAACCAAGAAAGCGGGAAGGCTGAGCAAGTCTCCAGGATACTTAAGGAGAATAAGAAGGCAAGAGGAAAGGATGGCCAACGGCCGAGCAAAACCAAGGGCAAGGGCAAGGAGGAAATCGAGGACAAGGGCGATGACAAGCCAGATATGAAACAAACGCTCATTGCCAGGAAGCGGCTAATGCGTAAGAAGAAGGCGCACAGCAGGGGAAAATAAATCAGGCTCATGTTTTCATGTAATTAATTGTCATTAAAGCATTTTGCATAGTTGGTAATGCCCGAGTGGGCAAACAAGAAAAGTACACAAAATGAGGGGAGTCTCAAAATGATTTATATCACACATGACACGCCTGGTTCACTATTTCCAAAACCACCCCGTCTTCTTTTTGTCATCCTCCTCTTGAAGACCACCTTGTTCTTGTGGATTTTTATCCTTTGGAGCAGGGTAGATCTGGTAGCTGGTCGAGCTGCTGACTTCGTTCCCATCACTATCCAGTTCTTTGCGCGTAACCTTGCTATGGACGTAGCCAAATCTATCGACATACTCGTTGCGGTCCTCGATCACCTTGTTCTGTGGCTCTGGGGTTTGCGCCTGGTCATTTGGGGTTTGGTTATCAGTGATGGTCTTCATAAAAGTATCCCAGGATCTTTGGCCAGAATTGTAGGCCGATTGGATCGACTCGAACAGCTCATCGAAGGTCTCGGGGTGAGCAATCTGGCGGTTTTCCCATCCCTTGTCCTTAACGTAACGATCAAAGTCGTCGGCCGAACGCTCAATCTCGTCCCAGATGTTTCCGATGGCTTTGATAGCCTGCAACGGACCGAGCACAGTGCGTCCCCAAGCATCCTCTGCCTTCCGATCTAGCTCCTGATGGAAACCGTCCCAGTCTGGTTGGTCCACGTGGCTGCGATCTGTAGTATAGCTTCCAAGCAGGCCAGAGGCTCGAAGTCTTCTATGCCAGAACCAGAAAGGCTCTCCCTCCGGAAACATTTTCTGAAGGAGCCTCTTCTGTTGGAGTTTTTGGGTCATCTCGGGCAGGTCTTGGCCTTGGGAGATGGCGAGTAAGTCTTCAAAGGCATCCTCGAAGGTAAAGGTGCTTCGGTCTACGTGATCGGGGATATCATTTGGTACGGGCCGTGGGAGGTTTCTCAGGGCAGCAGGGGAATATTGCGAAAATAGAACAGATCTGAGGCTTGAAGCTTCCCCAGCGCTGGGCTGGTATTGATTTTCTGGTTGAGCGGCTACGGAAGAGCCACCACGCTGATTACCGATCATAGTGTTGAACCCGAATGAAAGGTTCGAGTCGACATGGTGCTTAAATTGAACAAAGGGATTTGAAGGAGGGTCGTCCTTATTGCCGTCGGAACCCATGATATATGTGTGGGATATACGAGCAATAGTTGTTGAGGCAATCCTTGATCCAAATTAATGGGGCGGATAATTTGTTCACGAGGCAAATGGGAAGAGAAGATGCGATGTAGAGAGGATGAGTTGATGAGAAATGAGAAGAAGAAAAGATGCGGAGATGCCACAGGAACGTATATTAATGCAACTCACTTAAGATGCGGCAAAACAGCTGAGTTTGGTTGGCTGATAGGAAAGCCATGCACATGATGTCGCATACTCGAAGATTCCCTGTCTTATCGGCTTATCGGCCACCACGGCGGCCGGCACCAGCAGCCAACGAGCTGTCAGTGAGGGCCCCCAGCCAGCGCATGTTCCGGGGCCACTGCACCACTACGTAATTTCCTGTCCAAGCCCCACTTCCCATGGGATGCGGGATCTGAGGTGTGGCGCCCAAGCGAAAACGCAACGTTTTGTTTGGCCGCGCGGGCTCGGGGTTGTGGCTTGGTCCCGCCGCAATGGCGAAAGAAGCCAGGTCAAGGGAAAAAGGCGAGTCGAAAGCGAAATGAACGCACGATGCCAAGAAGCCGCCGTCATTACGACTAGACCTAGACACACCATGGCCGGGCCATAATATCTCATCTCTATCGCGACAAGCCTCCAGCAAGCTATTCTGCTTTCGTGCATCTCTTTTTTGGCCGTTGCTTCTTGCTTTAATTCATCTGACTTCGCATCTGCAGCTTTTTCTCGTTCATGACGTTGATAGGAGGTACTTGGTCCATTCATTTCCCCACGGACTAGCGGCGCCTCCCGATGATACCTCGACGAACAACTTTCCTGGCAACCAACTTTATTGACCAGCCTCACAGGCAACGGTCGGGCCACAAATCCCTCTCGGCAGTCTCGGTCAACCTATGAGGCTGTCAGGAGGAACCTCGCTACCAATGTCGACAACAAATTCAGGCCTTCCGTGGTCGTCCTTCTCGTTTGCGTCCCAACACAGGAATGGCACCTTCTTTGGCGGCAAAGATGGAGACGGGAAGGACGGCAATGGCGGAGAGACGCTCCAGGAATGGTCTTCGCTCATTGGCATTGTCACAGCCATCGTTGGCAACATGCTGATCGCTCTAGCTCTGAACGTACAGCGATACGCACACACCCGACTTCACAAGCAGCGCATCTCGGTTCGAAGACGAGCGAAGGCTGCGATGAGACGGGCTCAAAACGGCAGCCACTCAAGATCATATGGCACCGTTGATGGGGATGGTAATGGCGTGGCGAATGGTACCTACAAGGACGATGATCGCA